AGAGTTCTAAGCAAGAAACAATTCAAATGAAAAATGTTCTTCATTAAAGTAAATACGGTGTCGATATAGAGATTTTTATTGCTTTGTTTTGTTAAACTATTTCACAATTACAAACCATGAAACAATACTCTCACAAGTACATGCAAGTTTTTTAGTTCATTATGTATTTTGTATATTAGCCCTCTATCAGATATGTAGTTGGTAAACAATTTTTTTCTATTCTATAGAATGCCACTTCGTTGAAATGATTGTGTTATTTGCCCTGCAGAAACTTGTCAGTTTCATGAGGTCTGGGTGGTTGTTGGGTTGGTCAGCCCTCCAGCTCTCCTTCATTCTCAACACCAGGGTGAGCTCTCCTACACATTGTGTTCAAGTCTATTCCCCACTTTTTCTTCTGTTGGGTTTGGTGTATTTAGTTTTATGTTGAGGTCTTTGATCCATTTGGAGTCCAGTTTTGTGCAGGGTGATAAGTATAGATCTATTTAGATTTTTCTATATCAGTAGTTTTCAACCTTCCTAATGCTTTGACCCTTTAATACAGTTCCTCATGCTGTGGTGACCCTCAATCATAAAATCAGTTTTGTTGTTACTTCATAACTGCAATTTTGCTACTGTTATGAATCATAATGTAAATATTTTTGAAGATAGAGGTTTGCCAAAGGGGTTGCAACCTACAGTTTGAGAACCGCTGTTCTACATGCAGACATCCAAATTGACTAGCACCATTTGTTGAAGATACTTCTTTAAATTTAACTTTTAATGATTCTTTGTGGATTTCACATCATGAATCTTTATCCCACTCATCGCCCTGTCCCTTCCTATCTGCCTTCTAACCTTGTACCGCATCGCTCCCCAGGATAAAACAAGATAAAACTTAAAAGGAAAAAGAAGAAAAAGAAAAGAAAAGAGAAATCTTCTACAAAAGAGAAGCTTCTTGTGGAAGCTGTAATGTGACACAATGAGTCACACAGTCCTTTAGTCCATATATTGTTGCTTGCAAGTGTTCATTGCATTGAGTCATTGGTCTGGTTTGAGGTCCCTGGTTTTTGCTACATCATCAACACTGGACCCTCACTGGGGTTCCTCTTGGATATCCTGTTGTTGTTCTGTGTCATGGAGATCCTGTATCTCTGGGTTTGCAGCACCAGCCCCTTCACATGCTCCAGCAGATCATAGATGGGGTAGATGATGTGTCAACTCATAGCTCTGGTTCTGGGTCTGGATGGTTGCTAGGTCGGTCAACCCATCACTTCTCCTTCATCCTCAACACCAGAATGAGCTCTCTTCAGTACTGTCCTGGCTAGCTTACCCTATATGGTAAGCAGCAAGAGGCAGGGCCAATTCTCCTGTTCTCATGTCCTGGAGTCAGCTCACCCACACTTAAACCACCAGAGCCAGCTCTACTGTGTTGCCTAGTTGAGGTGTTGGGGCTACTCTGCCTAGTGCTGCAGCTGGTGAGAGGCAGGGCCAGCTCTTTTGCTCTAGTGACCTCAGGGACAGTTCTCCAACCTATCACAGGCCTTGAGGAGCATGTGGCGGGGCTTCTCTCCCTTGCCCACACCACCATGTGGTAGATGAGGGGTAGGGCTCAGTCTCTCACACTCACCTCCATCAGCAGGGTCAGCTCTATTGTGTTGCCCAGGTGAGGTGCAGGGCCCACTCTCCCTAGTTCTGTATCTGGTGAGGGGGCAGGGTCAGCTCTGTCATCTGCTGCAGGTGACAATTCTATTCCTTTTATTAATATGTCTTTTCCTCTCCCTCACAACCACATGCCAGACAAGGGGTGCAGGACCAGCTCTCCCACTATGAAGACCTCAGGGTAGGCTTACTTGTGCCCCGACCAGCAGAGTCAGCACTGCTATGGTGCACCCCAGGTGAGGTACAGGGCCTGCTCTCCTGAGTGCTGTATGCAGCAAGGGGTCAGGGGCAAGGAGGGCATTTCTCTCCTACCCACACTGCATGACAAATGAGAAGGGGGCTAGCTCTCCCACACTTATGCCCTTGGGGTCGGCTCACGCGCACCATCACTATCAGCATCAATCAGCTCTACTGAGTTGCCCAGGTAAGGTGCAGGGCCTGCTTTTTGGAATGCTGCAGTCGGTGAGATGTTGGGCCAGCCAGCTCACTGGTTCTCCTGACCTCAGGACTGGCTCTCCCACCTGCCACAGGTGGTGAGGGGTTGGGGATGGAAAGACATCTCCACCATGTGGCAGATGAGGGGCATGGCCAGATCTTCCATGCTCACATTCTTGGGGCCAGCTTGCCTGCATCCCTGTCAATAGGGTCAGCTCCAATGTTGCCTAGGCATGGTGTAGAGCCTGCTTTTCCTAATGCTGCACTTAGTGAGAGGCTAGGTCAGCTCTCCTGCCTGCCACAGGTGGCAAGGGGAGGGGGCAGGGAGGTTTCAAGATAATTTTTTTCAGTGTATATTTCTTATTTTTTATCAAAAAAAAAATCAGGTGTCCATAGGTATGTGAATTTATGCCTGGGTCTTCAATTCTATTCCATTCATTGACATGTCTGTTTTTGTGCAAATGTCATGCTTGCTCTTTTTTTTTGTTTTTTTGGTTTTTTTTGTTTGTTTGTTTGTTTTTGTTTTTGTTTTTGTTTTCCAGAGCTGAGGACCGAACCCAGGGCCTTGTGCTTGCTAGGCAAGCGTTCTACCACTGAGCTAAATTCCCAACCCCGTCATGCTGTTTTTTATCACTATAGCTCTGTAGTATGACTTTAAATTAGGAATGGTGAGCCTTCCAGCAGTTCTTTTATTAAAGATTATTTTAGTTATCCTGGTTTGTTTTTTTGTTTTGTTTTTTTTTGTGTGTGTATGTATGTATTTCTATATTTCTATATGAAGCTTAAAATAATCCTTTCAATTTCTATGAAGAATTGTCTTGGAATTTTGATGGGGATTGCATTGAATCTGTAAATTCATCCCAGATTCATCCTACCTTTTGGTAAGATGGCCATTTTTACTACATTAATCCGACAGATCCATGAGTACAGGAGAGCTTTCCATATTCTGATATCTTCTTCAATTTCTTTCTTCAATGTCTTGAAACTTTTATCATATAAGTCTTTTACTTACTTGGTAAGAGACACCCCAAGATATTTTGAATTATTTGAAGCTACGGTGAAAAGTGTTGTTTCTATGATTTCTTTCTCAGACCATTTGTCATTTTTCTATAGGAGGGATATATACAACTACTTTGCTGAAAGTGTTTATCAGCTGTGGGAGTTTCCTGGTGGAATTTTTCAGGTAACTTTTGTATACTATAATATCGTCTGCAAATAAAGATACTTTGACTTCTTCCTTTCCAATTTGTATCCTTGATGTCATTCAGCTGTCTTATTGTTCTTGCTAAGACTTCAAGTACTATATTGAATAGGTATAGAGAGAGTGGAAAACCTGTCTTCTCCTAATTTCAGTGGAATTGCTTTGAGTTTCTATTTAAGTTGATGTTGGCTATGGCCTCGCTGTCTTTATTATATTGAGGTATGCCCATTGAATTCCTATTCCCTCTAAGACTTTTATCAAGAAAGGATGCTAGATTTTGTCAAAGGCCTTCTCTACATCTAACAAGATGATCATGTGGTTTTTGTCTTTCAGTTTCTTTTTGTGGTGGATTATGATTATCAATTTTTGTATATTGAACCACCCATGCATCTCTCTGATGAAGCCTGCTTAGTCATGGTAGATGATCTTTTCGATGTGTTCTTAGGTTCAGTTTACAAGTATTTTATTTGAATTTTCACATCTATGTTTATAAGGGAAATTGGTCTGTAATTCTTTCTTTATTGGGTCTCTATGTGGTTTTGATATCAGGGTAACTGCAGCCTCATAAAAGAATTTGAACAATGTTCCTTCTGTTTCTGTTTTGTAGAATAATCTGGGGAGTACTAGAATTAGCTCTTCTTTGAAATTCTGGTAGAACCCTGCACTGGGGGTTATAGGTCTGCTTAAACTGCTTATCAGATTTTGACTTAGCTTTGGTAAATGGTATACATAGAGAAAATTATCCATTTTTAAAGACTTTCCAGTTTGGTGGAGGACATGTTGTTAAAGCACGCTCTTATGAATCTCTGAATTTCCTCAATGTCTGTTGCTGTGTCCCCCTTTTCATCTCTAGTTTTGTCTATTTTGATTTTTCTCTCTCTGTCTTTTAGTTAATTTAGATAAGTATTTGTCAAGTTAATTGGCTTTCCCAAAGAAGAAACTACTTATTTCATTAATTCTTTGTATTGGTTTATTTTTTCTCCTCTTTCTTCTTATTTTAACCCTGAGTTTGATTATTTTGTATTTTCTACTCCTTCTGGACATTATTTATTTTTGTTCTAGAACTTTCAGGTGTTTTGTTAAGATATTAGTATGAGATATCTCCATTTTTTAAAATGTAGGCACTTAGTGCGATGAACTTGCCTACTAGGACTATTTTCATTGTGTCCCATATGTACAGGTATACTGTGTATTCATTTTTTTCCCAGTGGTAATGAGAATATTTTATTTTAAGTGGAACATGAAGAATTAAAGTGCAGCCTTAAGGTTTCAGTTTTGCACTTTGAATATCAAGAAAGCAATTACTTCAAAAATCACAGAAACATGTTGAACTAACTAAACAGAAAAGAAAGTGGGTATTTAAGTCGTTGCATTTATCACCATTAGTGGAAACAGATTCCTGACAACTCCAGTCTACAGACAGCATACTTCATAATATCATTATTCATTTAAAACACTACAAATGTTTACAAAGAACATTTGAATTTCACAATTGCTTACAGAATATCTTACAGTATTAAAAACACGATGATTTATATGAAAATAAATAAAGACAACTTAATCTTTCTCAGCAAAAAAAAAAGATTCAGTATCACAAATTTAATGTGTAAATGTATATATGAATTCAAAAAGAATCCATTTAAACCTCACTTTGCCACATAACTACCTATTTTGTAAACTGATAAACACAATGTACTTTTTGGAAACATCCATCAAAACCAAAAGGTTAATGCTTACTTTTTCCTTTATTAGCAACATTTGGTGTGTTTTTCTGTTTTGGTTCCCAGAGCACGTTTTTGACAAATCTTGAGGCAGCACTTCTGTCCAGCTTGGCAGCCTTTTTCTTGTCTGTTATTTCTTTGACTCTGTTCATGTAAACTCTGATTCTTTCCAATTCTTGCTTCACTAGATGTTCCTTCAGATTAACTCCTTGGGTTGCCAAATAAACCCAAAACATTGAGTTTAATTTGTATGCAAACACTAAATCCACCTTTGCTTGCTCCAGTGGGTCCAACTTCTGCAACAACTCGTTTCTAGAGACAGGCATCATGGTCTTCAGCATGTCATCCACAGCAACCATGGAGCTCTCCCGGTCTGATAAAGATTCATGAATTTCTACCGGATAGTCTTCATTCATTTCTTCACCTGCCATTTCAACAACTCAATGCCGTGTACTCGTCTCCAAAAAGAGGTCACATGGTGATGATGTCATGACAGCGCCTCCGCTGTATTCATTTTCATCCAATACTAGAAAGTCTTTAATCTCTTAACCAATTTTTCATTAAGTAGTGAGTTGTTCAGTTTCCATGAGTCTGTAAGCTTTCTGTTGTTGTTGATATCCAGCTTTATTTCCAGTGGCAGTCATATAGGTACATGGTATTATTTCAGTTTTTTTGTATATTTGATAAAACTTGTTTTGTGTTCAAGCATGTGGTCAATTTTGGAGAAAGTCCTATGAGTTGCTGAGAAGGAGGTATAGTCTTTTGTGTTTGAGTGAAATGCTCTGTAGATATCTGTTAGGTCCATTTGGTTTATAACTATGAGTTAGCTCCAGCATTTCTCTGATTAATTTTTGTCTGGATGAGCTGTCTATTTGTGAGAGTGAGGTTTTGAAGTCTCTCTCTATCAAGGTGTGAGGGTCAATATGTGATTTAAGCTAGTAATATTTATCTTATGGACTTGGGTGCCCTTGTATTGGGCGCATAGGTGTTAAGAATTACAATATCCTTTTAGTGGATTTTTCCTTTGATGAATAAGTAGTGTCCTTCCCTATCTCTTCTGAATAGTTTTGGTTTGAAGTCTATTTTGTCAGATTTAAAATGGCTACATCAACTTGTTTCTTAGGTCCATTTGTTTGGAATATCTTTTCCATCCTTCTATCCTGAGGTGATGTCTGTCCTTGATGTTAAAATGTGTTTTTTTTTTTTTTTTTTGGATGCAGAAAAAGAATGGATCCTGTTTTCACATCCATTCTATTAGTCTGTTTCTTTTTATGGGGAATTGAGTCCAGTGATGTTCAGTGATATCAATGAACAATTTTTGTTGATTCCTGCTATTTTGCAGTGGTGGTGGTAGTAGTGGTCGTGGTGGTAGCAGTGGCAGTGGTGGTGGTAGTGTGTGTGTGTGTATGTGTATATGTTTCCCCTCTTTTTGTTTGCTGCTCTGGGATTACTTACTCCTTGTGTTCTCTTGGGCATGGTTGACCTTTTTAGGTTGGAACTTTTCTTCTAGTACCTTTTGTAGGACTGGATTTGTGGAAAGATATGTAAGCAGAGATTTCTGTCTCAGGAGCCATTCCCAAATTATCACACTGAGACTTATATTACTTATAAATGCTTGGCCAATCACTCAGGCTTGTTACTAGCTAACTCTTACATTTAAATTAACCAATTTCTATTAATCTATGTAGTGCCATGTGGCTCGTGGCTTTACCTGTCCTCTAGCATGACTGTTTTCCTGGGCGGCTGGCTAACAACTCAGATTCTACTCTCCTTCTTCCCATTGTTCTCATTTTGGCTTTCCTGCCTAACTTCTCGCCCACTACTGGCCTGTCATCTTTTTATTAACCAATGAGATAATACATATTCACAGTGCACAGAAGGATTATTCCACAGCATAGATATTGTTTAAATTTGGTTTTATCGTGGGATGTCTTATTTTCTCCATCTATTGTGATTGAAAGTTTTCCTTGGTATAGTAGCAGTCTGGTCTGACATTTGTGGTCCTTCAGAGTTTGTAGAACATCTTTCCAGCCCCTTCTGGCTTTTAGAGTCTCCATTGAGAAGTCAGGTGTTATGTTAATAGGTCTGCCTTTATATGTTACTTGGTCTTAATCCCTTGTAACTTTTAATGTTCCTTCTTTGTTCTGTATATTTAGTATTTTAATTATTGTGTGACAAGGGGAAAATCTTCTTGATTATTATGTGCTGAGGGATATTTCTCTTCTGGTCTGGCTTATTTAATGTTCTATATGCTTCTTATACCTTGATAGGTATCTTTATGTTAGGGAAATTTTCTTCTATGATTTTTTGAAAACATTTTCTGTGTCTCTGACCTGAGTTTCTTCTCCTTCCACTATTCTTATATTGTTATACATCGTGTCCCAGACTTCCTGGATGTTTTGTACCAGGAGTTTTTTAGCTTTAACATTTTCTAAAACTGACATATCCATTTCTTTTATCATGTCTTCAGTGCCTGAGACTCTTTCTTTCTTCTCTTGTATTCTGATGGTAGGACTTATCTTTAAGGTTCCTGTTCAAGTTTCTAAATTTTTCGTTTCCAGATTTCCCTCAGTTTGGGATTTCTTTATTGACTCTATTTCCACTTTCAGATCTTAAACTGTTTTATTCATTTTCTTCCATTATTGGTGTTTTCATATATTTATTTAAGAGATTTATTCATTATCTCCTTAAGGACATCTATGATATTCATAAAGGCTATTTTAGGTCTTTTTCTCATGCTTCAGCTATGTTGCAATTCTCAGGGCCTACTGTGGTAGAGTGGCTGAACTCTAGTGGAGACATATTGTCCTGGCGTATTAATTGTATCTTTATGCTGCCATCTGGACATTTGGATTTGGAATGGTTGTAATTCTAGGCCCTGATATCTGGTCTTGTCTTGTTAGATGGACTCTTTGCTCCTTGATTTTTGTTGCCTTCTCTGGTTCTTAGGAATGTATGGTGGCTGTGTGTTGCCTGGTAGAGAATTTTTCCGGGATCCTGCTTGGTTTAGGTAAAACATGTTTGTAGGTATTGAGAGCTGACACTCAGGAATGAGGATTGGTTAGGAGGATGTTGATAGAGTCCACAGGAGGGAGGAAAGCAAAGTGCTCCACCAGGATCTGCTTAATTCCCTGAAAGTCTGTGGAATGCGGAGAGGCCACAGCAGGTAGTCTGCTACAGAGCCAGGATAAAACTGGCTGGGGGCTGGGGGAGGGGGAGTGGAAAGAGGGAGAGTGAAAAATCTGAAGCTCCCCTACTTGTTTCCCAGGCCTGTTGGAATGGCCAGTTCCTAGGGCGCGCATCCTGGTGTTGGGTGCTGGGATAATGGGATAAGGAGTGTGAGAGGGGGAAGGTTTGAGGAGAAGGTCTGCTGGATCCACTGGAGATTGGGACAGAGAGGAAAAGGAAGTCACAGTAGGTGGTCTGTTACAGATATAGATTTAAGACTGGGGGATTAGATTTGGGAGAGAAAGGAAGAGATAAAGATCTATAGTTAGCCTACTTGAGAACTCAAAAAAACTAAACATCAAGATATGAATAACACAAATTGGATTTGTTTTTGTTTATTTGTTTGTTTTAATTTTTTATTTTTTTTTGGTAGGGGAGATCACAAGGGTTAAGGGGTGTACATGGAAGGACTAGGTACTGCGTGTGATTTCGGTGCATGATGTGAAAATCCCAAAGAATCAATAAAAATATTATGTTAAAAAAGAAACCTCCTTACATGTCTGCCAAAAAGGGAAACAGATAACCTAACTTAGAAATGGGGTACTAAATGGGGTACAGATCTAAACAAAGAATTCCCTAAAGAAGAGGAAACTTGAATAGCTGAAAAACACCGAAAGAAATGTTCAACATCCTTAGTCATCAAGGAAATGCAAATCAAAACTACTTTGAGATTTCATCTTACACCCATCAGAATGGCTAAGATCAATAAAACAAATGGCTGGTTCATGCTGGTGAGGATGTGGAGTAAGGGGAACACTGGTTCATTATGGTGGTACTTCAAACTTATACAGCCACAATGGAAATCAGTTTGGTGGTTCCTCAGGAAGATGAGAATCAATCTCCCTCAAGATCCATCTATACTACCCTTGGACATATACCTTAAAAGATGTTTCATCCTACCACAGAGACACTTGCTCAACCATATTCATTGCTGATCTATTCATAATAGTCAGAAATTGGAAGCAACCTAAGTGTCACTCAACAGATGAATGAATAAAGAAAATGTGGTACATTTACACAATGGAATATTACTCAGCTATTAAAAAAGGAAATCATGAGATTCATGGGTAAAAAATAGAAAAAAAAACCCAATCCTGTATGAGGTAACCACAAAACAGAAAGACAAATATGTTATGTATTCACTTATATGTGGATATTAGCTGTTAAATGAATGATAATCAAGCTATAATTGATAGAACCACAGAAGTTAGATATGGAGTAAGGGACTTGGGAGGATAGATATATCTCCCTAGGAAAGAGAAATAGAACAGATAGTTACTGATTTAATGGGAGGGTCTGGAATAGAAGGGTCAAGTGAGAAGGGAAGAGGAGCAGGAGGGAGAAGGGAATATGGGAGGGGGAAGATAGCTAAAATTAAAGGCCATTTGAGGGGTAATATAGAAACTAAAACAGTAGAAGCTTCCTAAAATATATACACATACAAAGGCAATCTAAATGAAATCACAAAACAATGGGAGAAGCAGTGCCCCAACGAGCTATCTCTTGTAACCAAATGAAGCTTCTAGTATGGGTAATGGGTTACATCTAATTGAGTTGTTGGCCAAAGAGGTCCACAGAAATCCCCAAACAAACCAGCCAAGATTGTGTGTTTCTCTCCACAAAGGCCCCGTTACTGAAGACAACACCTACACGACTCATTGAACATGGAGAGGTTGAGCTGAATGCCTACATAGAATCTTCACCCCTACGTGTAAGCTTCTTTAAGTACAAGAAGGCATTCTACATGCTATCAAAGGAGAAACATAAATCCCAACCCAGCCACAGTGCTTTGATCTACAATGATGTCCTGCCTGCAAGATACGATAGGGCAATGGTGGCACAAAGCTCACAGGAATAGTCTGATTTGACTTAAGGTCCACTCCACAAGATGGAACCCATACCTGACACTGTTTCGGGGACCAAGAACCTAAGACTAGTATTATCCCAGGGATCTAGGATAGAACTAAATACGAGTGTTCTAGTGTTCTAAAAGGTAAAAAGCATAGCAATAAAATGGCTCCTAATGACATTCTGCTATACTCATAGATCAGTGTCCCACTAAGCCATCATGAGAGGTTCCCTGCAGCAGATGGGAACAAATACAGCAACCCACAGCCATATAATATACAGAGAGTGAGAGTGGTGTTGGAACACTGAGCCCTACAACAGGATGTCTCCATCAAATCCCTTCCCTCAGGGCTCA